AATTTCCAGCGGCAATTTATAGGAGACAGATGGAAGCAATGTCAATTGAACGTTGCTAAAATAAATATTGAACGGTTATAGGCATCCTAGTGATTTTTTTTCATTAAATAGCCCTTTTACCATATCAAACTTGCAATAAAGCATGCAACACATATTAAAGCCAACTTTAATGAAACTTTTGTTGAAATGGAAACTGTTCTGTTCGGTCTGTAGTTTCTGCGATTTTGTTTTTGGCAAAACATTTGTCGTGGCCAGAGGCAATTGATCTAGTGCCAATTTGAGGTAAAACTTTGATCTGCTCCAGCTTGAGGTACTGCGGTAGGAAGCATTTTGCAATACTCAAATTTATTGAATTTCCAGCGGCAATTTATAGGAGACAGATGGAAGCAATGTCAATTGAACGTTGCTAAAATAAATATTGAACGGTTATAGGCATCCAGAGCAAAGCATATCTCGCTGTTGTCAGTTGAGTGGTTCACGTCAAACGTAATTAGGCGTTTCCGGTTGAGTCGTCATTAAGCGTTTGAAATTCAATCATCCTGCTTTATTTTGGTTTGGCCCATACAGGATCGCTTGTGCTTGTTTACCTCTCGGCTCGTTCCAATCAATTTAGGGCATCAATCTCCTCTTCGTGTTATGTTTGAATGACTTTGATGAGTATTTCATGGACCTAAGGAAGAACTGCCGTAGCTGGTTTGATCACGCTTGACTGAAAACTTTGCTGCTCTGGCGAATTCTCTATTAAGTGTTTGATGCGACTCGAACACCTGTGATGTAAATAATGTTAAATGGATCAAATTCATTTAACCAAACAGATTATTATTGTTATTATTGCAAATTTAGCTCGAGGCTCCAGGCTTGACTAACAAAGTTGGTATTATATGTCCGTAGTTTACATCCCTCGATTTGCCTGGCTAAGAGCAGAAAATATAAACAGAACCATACAGTCGAACAATTAGAATTAGCAGAAACGCTTAGCTGCTATTACAATGGGTATTGATCGCCTAAACGATAATGGGGAGGAGAGGGCGAACACTGACATAATTTGTGATTTGTTGCCGATGCCACGAGTATACAGATTTACAGGAGCTGCATCAAAACATAATCAATATAATCACAATATATGCCAAGTGGATGATGAAATCACTTGCATGAGCGGATTAATCAGTCACAGTACATCAAGTATGCTAAGCTCTTAATAGCCTTAGAACTAAACATTTTCGAATTAACAAAAAATTCCCTTCAGTTTGATCGGGAACATTTATTCCAAACCCGAAGTCCAGATTTAAGCATTTTTGTTTCAGTTTACAAATCTTCTAAGTGATTGACTTGTAGGTCCATACTAGCGTTAATTAATTAGACCCTGTTAGGTTTCCGCCATGCTATTTTGCGAGTAGGTGTTTGCTTTATCAACAGGAAAGTAATTCTGGGAGCTTTGGGTCTGCCGGCTCTTTGCCCTTTTCGATTCTGTGCACAACAGAATCCCACATTAAGGCTACGGACTTAATTATTCCCTTTTTATTTCCAAATATAAACTGAGCTTCTTAGTAATAACCTAAGCCACAAAAAAGTTCAGGAAAACAACGTGCCGTTCTCTTAGGGTCGGGCATTATCAAAAGCAATTTGTTGGCTGATGTACTTGAGTATCACAGTCGCAGCTAATCATTTTTTATAAGTTTCAAAAAGCGATCTTTATAAGTAATAGGTTTTTAAATTTTATATAAGTGTGTTCAAAAATCACGTATCACAGCAGCAGTATGACTTGAACAGAGGTTGAGTTAACTATTTTCCTGAATTCATGTACATACAGGGTTATCCATTATATGCTTGGGAAAGTAAAGTAAAAACAAACACAACAAATATTCAGATGGAGACGAAAGTTTTAATTCAATATAAAGATTAAACCTTGCAATTATACGTGAAAAACAATATCATTTAAATGTCCTCCACGGGACCTCGTACAGGCCTCCAAGCCTATTGAGGTAATTTTGAATTACTTTTCGGCACAATACCTGCAATATCTCGATCATAACTTCACGGATATTGGCTTGTAGTTTGCTGAAGAGTTTGAGGATGGTTGGCGTAAACACGATCTTTTGCATAGCCCCACAAAAAGAAATCTAACGGTCTTAAGTCGCAGGATATTGCGGGCCAATTGACATCACTCAATCTCGAAATTACGCGTCCTGCAAATTTCTCTTGCAATAGGGCTCTAACTGCCAGTGTTGTGTGACTCTTGCCCCTTTTTCCAGATCATAATCTTCAATTTCTCTCCAAAAATAATCGGTTAACACGCGTTCATAGCGCTCAGAATTGACTGTTATGGCTCTTCCTTGATCGTTTTCAAAAAAATACGGGCCAATAAGACCACCGGACCATAATTCACACCATATGGTCACTTTTTCAGGATGCAAAAGCCTTTCCGCGATCACCTGAGGATTTTGAGAGCTCCGTATACGGCTGTTCTGTTTATTCACGTAACCACCGAGCGAAAAAGCCTCATCGCTGAAGAAAATTCGGTTCGAATAATCATCATCATCAACGGCTTGTTGTTCAGTCACCCAATTTGCGTATGTTCTGCGTTGCCCTTCGCATTGAGGCTTAAGTTCTTCAGTCAGTTGGACTTTGTACGGATGGAGATTCAAATCCAATTGCAAAATTCGCCACAATGAGCCGTAAGACAAGCCCAAATGTTGAGCACGTCGGAAAATCGACGAATTCGGGTCTTCCTCTACACTTTGAACAACAACATCGATATTTTCAGCTGAACGAATGTTGCGATGATGCAAAGGCCTTACAATATCAGTAACCGATCCAGCCTCTTCAACTTTTTCCACTGTGTTCTAAATTGTTTGCTTTGTGGGTCGATTATGTCGACCGTAATCTGCTCGTAAAGCCTTAAACGTTGATACAGCAGAATCACCATTTTTATAGCAACATTTAATAATTTTTACGCGTTCTTCGACAGTTAAACGATCCATATTCCAAAATGGCAAACCTTCAACTAAAACAAAAACGCTTCGGATGAGGTTTACCTTTGACAGATATGAAATAGCAAGGTTTTACTTTCCCAACCTCGAATTGGATAACCCGTTATTACTCAGTAAACTTTGATGGTTAAAAAACTGACTGCTACTTTTTCCTCCTTTTTGGCCAAAATTGCAAAAACTGCTCCATTGTTGTCGCTGTAAAACTGCAATCCGTCAACTATACATCAGGATGTTTAAAAAAGACACTGCAATATTTAAGGGCGTGATTTCTTAGGTCATTTTATCAGAAAAAGCTCCCATAAACATAAGTCCGAAAGGGCACAGTTTCAGGGTGTTACAATTTTAGTTTCTTTTAATGGGGCCAATGTATTGTAGAAATTTTGTATTTGGGGTTTTTTAAATTATAAATTTTACATTTATATTAATTTAGCTCTAACTTGTAGGAGGCACCATGAACTTCACTTTTTAGAAGTAAACATTCAGCTTTTTTACGGTGAAAAAGTGAAAAAATCGGCCGCTTCTTTCAGCTTCTTGTTGGCCAAAATAAAATAAACTGGTCCAGTGTCTGAATATTTTACAAATATGTAGTTCACATTTGTTCTCCCTGTCTTTCTTGATGTCTCCACGTGTGGACTCTTTAACAGAAACGCACCAAGATGTGTTGAAAATTAAAAGGGATAATTTGTTTTCAGGTTTAAATACCTGGAAAAATTCAAATAAAGCGTTTCAAAAAATTTGCTTCTGTTGATCGGTTTTTCATGGTGATCATTATTGATATAACGATAGGAGCATTAAAGTAACGTTAAAATTGAAAGTTTATGTGTACCCCACTGTGCAACGAGGTAACTTTTCTATGACCTCAGCCCCCCACCAGATCAAAATCTTGTTCGCCACTGGTCGTCGTGTTTATTTTAAAAAATTAGCCAACTTACAAATTTACGTTCCACGCAAAAGCGTGCAGCAATTTTTCTTGGAAATACTATGTGCGAAATATAATATCGTTCAACGTCAGAAATGCCTATAGTAAAATTTCAATATAATTCTAAAATGTTTTATATTTTGATTGTCTTTCAACTGGAAATTACTGTATTTTTGCAGGGTGGTATTCAAGTTTTTCTTTCCATTGCCAGTTTGTCTGTTGTAAGTCACACATAATTAAATTTTGATAAAATATCTTCCGCCGCATGAATTCCAAACAAACCATTTAAAAAGCAAAATTGTTATTGACATGATTTAAACATTTACAGAAGAGCAATCGATTGAAATTCACAGGGCAAAATAAATTGAATAATTAATTATGTATGTTTTTGGGGTTGGTGTATTATATGGTCTATGAAGTAAATATTCAAATATGGAGAAGTGCCAGTGTATTGTTTAAATAATTACTAGTATTAATATTCATTATATGTAAAAGTAATCTACTGGGCTTAATAAAATAATGCTCGGCTAATTTATTCGATATACAAAATGTTATAAATTACTTTATAATTTAAAACTAATTGCCAAAAAAATATTTTATCCCGCCAGTGTTAATTATCTACTTTTGAATCCAACGTGATTTGCCAGTGCAGATCATTGAAACCAAATAACCAAACCCGAGGTATAAATTTGGGATTATTATTGGCGGCATGTCAACTTCCCTCATCATTTGCATTCCAATCGAATATTAGATTAACCACTAACCGCCCTTCGGATATTCAGGTAGCTAAGCAGTTTGGACATTCTTTGCAATTAACATCGGGTGCCAAATGCATAATGAGTTTCATCCAAAACAGCAAATGAGCACATCATCATATTATAGATACTCTTTTTTATGTAGCTGACCAATAACACTTTTGACCAAATAGGTTTTCATTACCTAATTTCCTAATAATAAACCCTTCAGTAGCACTAAGTGGTCATTAGCAGATAGGTCAATAAAGCTTTTAAGGAAATTGCTACATAAAAACAACAAATTAAGACAACAATAGCGCATGTATCCATAAATTGGAATGGTAGGTAATAGGTCGGCATTATAATTAGCACGACTGGAGTATTAAACGGCAACGGGGTTGTAATTAATCAATAGCACATCGAGGAGCAGCAGGGTCGGATTTCCATCCCCATCACTCCGTGTTTGCACGGGTGTTCGCATTATAGAAATTTCACATATTTACTTGAAATATTGCATTGTTGGGCAAGCTTTTACGCACAACTCTCAATACTATTTTCTTTTAAATGCATCCAATACCCATAGCAAGTAAGTGAAGTTCCTTCCGCAGGTGGCAAAGTCAAAGTGGAGGGAAAATGATCGTTTTCAGTCTGATTTTCCGCACAATCTGCAGGCGGTCGTAAAAGCAGACTTAAGAAATGATGTTTATGGGCGATTAATCGAAACCCATGCTTAAATCGTTTATATTTGTAACTTCTCACAACTTTACGCGTATTTTAATCAGGACTTACAATTTTGGCAGCTAGCACATATGTTCACTACATCATCTGAAAAAACCATCAATTAAGAAAACATTCACAAACTTGTTTTCGCGTGTTAAATCCGCCTCTGTTCTTGATGCGTTTTTGGAGTCATGTACTTCCACCTTGTCAGAAGGGAACTTATTTTGCTTTTACCCTGTGTTATATTGGGGCTATTAAAACCGTGGGGATGAGCTGCAAATAATTGTGCCCGATTTGATAGCAGAATGAGTTATTTTCAAATAAAATATACGAACATTATTTTTACTTTATCCTAAATATTTTTTTATGCACAAACCTAGACTAATCAACAATTAATAATGTTGAATTTTTGCGTTTTTGTACTAATGTATCTAGAAGTCTACCTTGTCAGAAAGACCCTAAACTCGTTTTGATTTTACACCATGTTTTATTGGAGCTATTAAACGGTGGGGATGAGCTGCAAATGCTTGTGTTCAATTTGATATCAAAAGGATCGTTAAAGTGTTCATAGTAAAAACATTTCCACATGAAATATAAATCCGGGCAATAACGTAAAGCTTAATGCAATATTTAATATTGAATATGCTTCGTACCTGGGAGTTTAACTAACTAGTTGAAATTAATAGAGTACTTTTCCTCTTTAATGTTTATCTGTGGTTTCAAATTTAAGCAGTTTCAACAGAGCTTTTGTTTGAGCAGCCTCATCATTAACAAGTACCTACATTTCAAATTTTAAACAACAATAAATGTATAAAAACATCTGAATCCGGTATTAAATGTCTAGTTTTCGAATAATATTCCCACGACATGGAATTAATAAAATAACTAGGAGGTCATTGCCAGTAGTAAATAATATCAGGTTCATAATCTACAGTTTCCAGAAATTCCGGCAACAGCAAAGCACACACAAACTATTCTATGGAAAATGAAACTGAAAACCTTATAAAGCGCTAATTTTTTCCAGTCATTAAAGATTATGCAGCATTACTTTGGATGTAGCACTTTTTAAATAATTAGAATTAAACGTTTCATGATTAAAATTATCGCTTGATATGGTACATGTTAAGGTCAAAGTTAAAGTACAGCTACAGTTACCGGTTTGGATAACCAGCAGGATTTTGATTGAAACTGATTTGTTTCAGGTTAAAATATGGTTTCAAAATCGTCGGACAAAATGGAAAAAAATCGATAATATATCAAATGCGGAAGCTGCAGAACACAAAACAGTTGGATCGAAAGCGGAAGATAGCCGTAGCAGCCAAACGCATCAAAGATCCAGTGGCAATAGTCACAGTCAAAGTTCAAATTCAAGCATTGAAAGTGATTCTAAAGGATCAGCGATTTCTTCAGCTGTTGCAGAACATCACTCACAACCAACTTTTAAGGACATTTTGCAAGACTTTTCATCCGAACCGGGTCTGGAAGGGATTGCGAGTAACGAAGATAAATTTGACAAACAAATCGATGATGCCAAAGATGTTCTCTTAAATTTAAGTTTTAGCGGTTCGGAAGCTTCTCAGCCTCTTATGTAATTTTGTCGACCTGGGTCAGTCATTTGGTAATAAAGAGTTATATCAGCGAGTTGCTGGTTATTGGCTGATCAGTGATTATTTCCTTAATGTACATAGAAACCCTCTAAAACTTGCTGTGAATAAAATTAATTGAAGCATAGGTATACTTTTTACCAAAAATAACTAGACTTTTAGTCTGAAACAGGGTGTAGTTAAGCTTATGACTTATATTTATTTCAGTTGTATAAACGCACGAAAAAATCGCAGCCGTAGTGATGGATTTAGTAATTACCCTATACCGAGTATGCAACAGCCAATTTAAATCAGAACCTTAAGCATCCAGAATATTTTATATCGAAAGGAGTATTTTTCCTGCATCTACATTCACTTTCCTCTTTCTGCCAACTTGAATTGGCAGAATTTAGTTACGCCAGTCAATCAGTTTAAACCGAAATTGTTGAAAAAATATTCCTTTTGCAGTAATATTAATTAATTTTATATTTGATCGTGATGTAATGTGTTTCAAGTATCGTGTTTAGTGTTATTTCGCAATATACAGATATTTTAATACTATAACAACGCTATTTTGCTTTATTTGGAGTTTCTAGACTTTACGTTTAAGTGGGCCTATTAAAAAAGCCAAAATTGGTCTGCATCAATCACCTAAACACCATAGAAGCGTAATATACACAACTAGAGGCATTCAGTTAAACTGTGGTTTAGTGCGGTTTTTGATAACCTGGTTGGTTTTGCCGGGTGCAAAATTTGATACTGAAATTGAAAAAATCATACACGATTGTGAAGTTCAAAAACCGCCAAAACTGAGCAAAAAAATCGATTATTTCGGATCTGAAACGTCTGGACCATTTTTCAATGCGTTTGTTTGCTGAAATTTCTTTTTGAATTTCTCGCTGAAAGTGATGTTTTTTTCGAAAAATCGATCCCTGCGCTTATGAAAATTTTGGTCAAACGTGAAAATATTACATGCAAGTTCATTTGAGCTCAATGGATTATTTTCGACTTATGAAGCTCACCAATGTGCATTTATGAAATGTTTGGAACTATATATGAAGGATAAAGGCAATGTCGTCCGATAAGGATCATGAATGGTCAAAAACCCCTAAAAATGGGCCAAAAAAGTCGATTATTTCGGATCTGAACCTTCTGGCGCGGTTTACAATGTGGTCGCACTTCTCGTGAACCATTTCGCGCTTCCTTGAGATGAAAATGAAGGGAATTGATTTTTTTTTCAGAAAATCAACGCAAATCCTTGCAAAGATTTCGCTTAAAAATCAAAATTTCACATGCAAGTTTTCTAAGCTCATTGGATTGTTTCCGACTTAAAAAGAAGATTTTTCCGTAAAAGATCGTTAATGGTCAAAACCCGCTTAGAATTGTTAAAAAAGTCGATTATTTCGGATCTGAAACTTCTGGCGCAGTTTGCAATATGGTCGTTGTATTGCTCGCTTCCTTGCGATGGAAATGCGATATTTTTGACCAAATTAATTCGTTCAAAATGCTCCAAATGAATGTCTTCACAAAGAAGTTGTTTTTCCCAAGTATTTTAATTTATATTCCTAGATATTCGTCAGAAACTGTTAACTACCTACATTTTAGTTTAACGTTTCAGTCAATAGTTTCCACTTTTGAACTTCTCAAACAAATCTACGCTTCTGCGGGATAAACTGGTAAAAAAATTAAAAATGTAACATTTGCCGTAAATTTCACTCAAAACATCCTGCAGGAAATACAATTTTATTCCTGCTTGGTCGTACTAGTGTCCTCTCGGAGACTCTCTGTTCACTAAAACGTTTTTAAGAGAACTCTGGCTGGCAAACGCGTGATTGCGATCCCAGATACCGCCACAATGTCTACCCAAGCCAATCAATATCAATTGTATCATATTTTAAGCAGCAAAATCTCCCATTGATTTGCCAGCTCTTGGCGAAAGGGCCATGAATTGCTAGGGGCAAAAGGCATCTGACGCCAACGAAAAAGAAATTCCATGTTTCGCCCTCAGGTGTCCCTTGAATAGGAAATAAACTATACCGAGTTTTGAGCCGTTTTCTTTCAAAGTGATTTTTATATTTAATATGGGGATATTTAAGGTTTTGCTTTTGATTAGTTTAAAAAATATGGGGATAAATTATGGGATTAAATATTAGATTGGTTTAATTTTATAATGTAATCTTTTTTAAATTGTAACTAACAAAAATTTAGAATTTTAATAAGTTTAAAAGGACGTGCACCACCAAAGTCAGCAGAAAGCAAAAACCTTGCATTTACAAAACATCGGGATCTCAATTGAAACAAACCAATTCATTTTTATGAAATGTTTGAAAATAAAAGAACAAAGTAGACATGGTTTATATCAACATTTACCAAATTCTATATATAATAAATTATATATTCTAAAATAAATGTAATAATAATTCTGTGAAAACCGAAATTCCGGGAAACTGTAAAAAGTTTATGTCGTTTACAATGTTGCTACACATAAAAATGCACTAAAGAATTTATGTAGTTCGATTTTGAACTAAATAGTAGTGGTATGTCTTTGAGGAAAGTTGCCTTACACCATTTTCAAGGTAATAATTTTTGGAACTTCACTAACTACCAAAATTTGTAATAAAATAAACAATGAAAAATTTAACAGTTGTTTTTGGGAAAAGGCTGCAATTGAAAAGTTCGTAGTAAATTGAATTCATTTTTATCATTAACTAATATTTTTTCAAAATGGACTTACACCACTTTCGTTTGGCTAAAGCCAAGTGAATGTATGGTTTTGATTGCATTCGTTGTTACATGAACAACCATAAATTGGTGTTAATTTTTTATTAATCAATTATTATTCTTGTACCTATATTGAAATTTGAGATCTAATTTGCCCGTAAGTTAATTTGAGTAAAAAAATAAATACAAAGCAGAAACTTCCTCATTTGTAGATTTCTCAGGTGTAGGTGTATGAACTTAATAGACCATAATTTTAGCGACTGAAATGCAATACTTGGCGGTTTCCACTCAGGTGGTACCCCAGCTAAGTCAACTGTTTACTTTAGAACCAGTCTCTGAGCACGAAACATTGTTCCTTATTCAGTACTTCCTATATTATCAGAAACAATATATTTCCGTTAAAGCGCATATACCTTTCTCGCAAATGCTGAATTAGTATATTTAATACCTAGTTTTGCCCGAAACATGCTGGTATTTTAGCTGGATTCATGTATCAAGTCTATTTCTACCTCTGCAGCCCTAATCTGACCCGAAATTGATTTAAAAGCGCTTAATACCAAAAGGAAGACTTCAGCTCACGTTATATGCTGCTGGTTAATTCTTCAGCATTAACTGGATATTCGTATGAATTTTCTGAATATAATAGGCTTCTCATGAAATAGCTGTTTAAATTCAGTTTCCTGCCTATGAGGAACGATAATTTACAATTTGTTTTATGAATATATTGGTAATAAGTGCATTTTACATCAAATACGCGCAGAAAATTGCCTCAATCGCAGAAAATTTCCTGCGATTGGAGCCAATAGAATTAAAGACTTACTTCAATCCTGATCCCTGCCTGATAAGGTTCACGAATACAGTAAATATTCCCGTAAGACGCTTAATAGAAATAAATAGATTTTTAGAGCGGGCCGTCTAAAGAATAGGGGTCGCTGGACAGAGGTTGTCGGATAAGCCAATAGAAAACCATTGTGGGACTTCTCTTGTACGATTAACGAAAAGCCAATGGATAGGTCACTCGATGAAAGAAACAAGGATGTTGTATAGATGAATTGAGACTAAGTGAACATTTAGTTTGGTTTGATTCGTCCAAAGCAAAATATGGAAAAAGTTCAGTTTCAATCAAGTTATATGTAAAATGTTTTTAACGTATAATAAATAATTTAAATAAGCATGAAATATGGATTCAGATGATGCTGTATTGCGAACACTGGAAGGAAGAAGCAAAAGAAACGCGATGAAATATTCAAAGCAATGAATATCCATCATGAAATGAAAAGGTGTAATTTTATTTTAGATCCGAAGCTCGATTCGATTAAACTATGAAATTACAGTTGCATCTTATTAAGGAAAACATCCATATTTTAGCCGCCTGATGAGCTGTCATTTGGGCTAAATCTAAAATCCAGAATAATCATATAACGAGATGACAGATTTACAAATGAGATGACTTTCAGCCAATTTATATGACAAATTGGGCCAATATTTCTTTCTATAAAAATATTTATTTAAGGGCGAATTCCGCTAATGCTAATACTGATGCTGAACTTTAAATAAAATATTCAGACAGTTAAACAAAGATGCATTTTATGTTTGACATTCGCTGTATTTAATTGTTATTTGCACGCATCAGGTTTGAGTTAATATAGACTTTTTATTTAAAATGGCTTCAAGAGCCATTGAATATAAATATTGCTTGTTTGCCAACATACATTTTTCCAGATACTGATTAATTTTTATTAAGCTTCTCGATTATATGCAATTATTATTTATTATCATTTTGGTTAATAAGCCGTAAATTGATAATTCTATTTGTTTGAGACATAGGCAAATCCAATACAATCTATATGAATAACATTGTTGGTTTAGCAGTAATAAAATAGAGCGTCATTGTAATAGCTTTATCATAATGCAAATTTCTACCTTTAATTAATGGTAGGTAGACATGATGATACTCAGATTATACGAATTAGCTTCATGGTGCAGAATAGGGCGAACTGAGTTTTAATGCTAATAAGATTTGAAAAATGTGTGCATCTCTAACGGTTTATAACATCACCATACCAGTTTTCAAATTGCTATATGGTTGCTTTGTATGAGCAGCTTTGGGTCCAACTTGGGGATGAACCAGATTGTTCAAGCAATTTTTAGCTGTCCTTAAAGTGCCTAAAAACAGCCATATTTACACGTCAGAAAATTTATTTGTACCCGAGATATGACGCTACACATCTATTCATCGCAAGCATCAAACTTCATCCCTTCTATTGACTGCAACCCCTATTATTTGTCAATTGTAATGTAATAAATTAGTCGCATTATGATAGGTTGATTTTTAAATGAATGCAAAGGGGAAGCGGCATAAAAATGGCAGGTCATTAGGTTAATTTTAACCCCTTTGAAGTTTCAAAGGAAACATTTAAATATTTTTATATAACCATGGAATAGAGAACACAGTGTTTTCTCGCGACGAATAGCTGCGCTTTCTGCAACCATAAACCCATAATTGGAAATAAAATGCTGTTGTAAAACTAAAAAATACGTTAAAACCTCGGATGTGACCACATAACAGTTTATTAAAGCTTGATGATTAAATTCTGGGTGTATTAAAAGTTAAAGCGACGGATTGTAAAAGACCCGACCAGCACCATCGTCTACCTATTTCAAAGCCCAGGATGTGTAAAATAATAATAAAGATTGATCATTTTAAGGAGACCGAGAATAAATAGTTAAACGATTATACTAATCGGATTCAGGTATACAAATAACACCCTAAAAGGGGGCATAATGGGAAAAGTCTCATATTAAATTTAATAGTAGCTCTAAAAGTCAGAGTTTCAATGGCG